TGACTGTTGGTTTTGTGTTTGTTCTTTTTAGAATAGAAAGGGTTTCTAAAATAAGAGAATTTAAAAACCATGTAAAACAAGAAATTCCAATTAATTGCTGAGATGCTAAAACCTTGGCCATAATTAAGAAATAAATAAATAAATGTACTTGAAATAAAGCAAGGTGCCTCAGTAGTTGTGAGGACATATGAATTCATAATTATTTTGGATTTCTTTGTGATAAAATATAAATAATGAGTACCTACAAAGTGTCCTACAGGGTCAATATATGGGAATCCATTATAAAGATAAAGCCCAGGTCAGAGAAGGAAATAATCTATAAAGGGAACAGATCTGAATGGATAGATTATCCTGTCTGTGAAAGCACACATTGTAGCTACCTGCTGTAGTAGTTTTCTAGAAAAAGAAAGAAAAGATAAAGTGAAACGATTTTCACAAAGGGATTCTAGCTGCTGAAGTCTTCCTGGCTTTGAAAGAGAGATGGATTCCTGTTTATTTGCTAAGCACTTTTGATGAGCAAAAGCAGTAGGAAAAACATAGATGCAAAACAGGAAGAAATATATCTAGTAAACACAGGGATGCAGGAAAACTGCAGGGGAGAAAATAAGCTTATTTTGGAGTTGAATTTACCCCAAAGCATTGCTCTAGCGTTAAAGGTAAAAATGTGATGATCTAAGAAACTTTTATCATTGGAAAGCAATCGTCCTTATCAAATATAGACCCTTTACAGTAATGATGAAAGGGAAATACTTTATTAAACAGCTAACTCACCATTTACCTGCTGCAAAGATGGAGTAAGTCCTCTGAGCCATCAAGGAATTAATCACACCTTCCTCAGTTTGAAGCCTAACCTTTTCATCATTGTTCTGATGAAAAGATAAAAGCAGAAAGGATGTTTACAGGAGGATTCATGCTTGCTAAAGAACAGATGGAGCCAGGGACAGGGCACGAAGAGAAGACTGACCCAAAGGGCAGTAGGAACACTCCTCTCACTGCAGACTAAGGCCTCTGGTGGAAAACACACACTGTGTCCCCACTGCATTTGAAAAAACACTGGGAATGATGTTCCATGACACATAATGTTTGTTCCATCCAGGTATTATTTGGTGCATGCTGATGTCTGAGTGTTTCCACCAGTACATCTGCCAGAGACCCCTGATAAGCTGGAGCTTTCTTACTGGCTGCTGTGCCAAATGAGATAGAGCCTGTTTAAAATAAAGGCCAGTGTGCACGTACCACAATCCGCTTGAAATCTCTGGAAAAAAAAAAAAAAAAAGGGGGTAAGGCTTCCATCTGTGCAGCTCTACAGATAATCAGCCACACTTTGTAAAACTCCTCTTACTACAGAGCAGTTACTTGGAAGTTGAACAGAATTGTAAAAGCAGTGGATAGATGGGCAAAGGGAGGCATTTCAAAGCTGAGCTAAATGCTGGTGTCGCATTTCTGCAGCTCATCAGGGCTGTTAACAACCCTGGTGCTCCTGTCCAAGTCTGTTTCAGCTTGCCTTTTGTGTGGGGCAGGGATTCCAGCATTTACACCGTGAGAGAAGTACAAAACAGGTAAATGAAGTGGGCAGTTGCTATTTGCAGCAAATGTAGAAGTAGGAAGCATTTCTTCAGCTTTTGGAGAAGTCTCATAGGTAGTGCACCCCCACGGTGGTTCCTGATAGTCGTGAGTCATAAAGATGTACTGCAAGGTTTTAGCAATTACCTTTAGTAAAGCTCATGTCTAATTGAGAAAGCTTTGATGGAGCAGATGCTGCCTCAAAAAGACAGAAAGGAACTGATTTATTAAGAATGGAAAATGTGTTTAGACAGAAATAGATGCTGCTTTGTTTAATGTGAGAGGGGGTATAGGTTCCTGCAGCATACTCCAAGTTATTTTAAAGAGAGGACCCAGATACCAGAGGAGAGTAATGAAATGGTAGATTCATCCATGCTAGAATGCAGTACCACCATTTCTTATATAATAAAGGCTTTTAATTTACAGCAGAAAGTTTGAAAGATGAAAGATTAAGTAGAGATGATAGGAATTACTTCCCAACAGCAGATGATGATGGATGCATGTTGCAAAACCAAAGCAAAATTGAAGATATGAAAAAAAAAGAGCATCATTCTTGTGAGGCATTTATTTCAGTGTATATTTCCACTTGGTAGTCAGTTTTGTTTGGTTCTAGTGAACAGTTATTGAAGGCCAGCAAAGAAACCTTGACATCAGAACCTAAGATTTTAAAAGCTTCTCTTAGTTGAAGAAAGGGGAGGGGAACTCTGATTTTAAAGCTGATAGAGGTGAGAAGAGATGGAAGTGTTCCTTATGGCTGTTCCCAAATCCTAAAATATCAGAATACAGAACATTTGCTTCAGAAATTATATCTTTAAATTGGGCATGGCCTATCTCATTATATGTTAAAGAAATGGGAATCTGAGAAATAGTAGGAACTCATTTATTGACACTCTTTAAAGGGTTATGAAATAATCATGAAAAGATTATACTAAAGTCTTGGGCTGGTGATGAAAATTACTTGAAATAAATGTAGCATGCAAATACTACTATTTTTAAATAATTTAGTTTTTAAAATTACTTCTATCTACTGGCATGGACCTTGATGGCATTCTAGATTCCACCACTGTGACAGACCAAAAACGTTACACGGTGGGTGAAATCTACTGAGTATCTGCTAATATTCTTCCTTTAAACCAGTGAAAAACTGCTCTAAATTTCTTATCCACTGGGCAGCTGGAGCTCTAGGGACTGTTAAAGCATAGACAGCATGCTGGGCTGACAGTGAGTTTGTGCACAGGTGGGTCTGAATGAAAATCCTGTGATCTGGAAGGAGCTGTGTGTGCAGGAGTGTAGAGGGGAGAGAGAGGAACACCACAGCAGCACACATATAAAATAAATGCTGGAGAAGCACTTAAAACAGAACACCTGGAGGGGAAAAAGTGCAAAGATTGCTATGGGACAAGTGCTACACAGGAAATGCTGGGAACCATGAACTCCATGGGAAATTATTTCCTTCGTTTGCTTCATACTGAATTTAGGACAACAGAACTGTATGTATACTATTCGTAAATAAACATGATCATGCCAAAGGGGTAACTGACTTTTAACTGTCTTTCCCATCTATATGACCCTTTTTTTTTTTTAGCTTACTGGTTGGGTCCAAAGGATATCCATAATTTGGATTGTTGGGAAATCTAGTTCAACTGTGTGAAACCAGCAAATCCCCATAAGGGGGAGTTTCATGAATAGAGTTTTGCTTTTTTCCCCCCTCCCTTTTCCTCTCTCCACCTGATAGTAGAGTGACTTAATACCGAGTATCTGGGCTACCATTAAGGGACTTGGAGAAAACAGATTAACAGGTAAGAAATGAGCTATGTTAATGGAATGTGCATTATAAAAAGGCAAAGTGGTCCTTTTAGACAAAGTCTGAGAAAGAAGGTTATACTGTTTTCATGTGCTATACCTACATATAATTTATATGAAAATGAAAATCTATTACTTGTTTTAACATATTTTTTTACAATAATTACGGGCTTGCTGTGGTATGGAAGTGACCTAATAGTTACAATTGTGACCTCTAAGTTATTGTTAATTTTACTGTCAGTATGTGCTTCACATCTCCTACTTAATGGTATGCTAATTGTACAGCAGGATGTCACATTCTCCAACATACAGATTCCCTATTTCAATTACAGCTAAGTAAATCTCCATTACTAATGAGTAAGCATTTCTTTTCCATGTACATTTGCATTATAATGGACATTTTCTTTGTGCACTAAAATTATTCTTCCCTTGACAACAACTATGTATTTTATTTTACAGTAAAGGCTACGACATGATGATTCATTCCTTTCTGTTGGGTTTATCTGTATTTAAATTGTCAAGTGCTCTGGATAGCCTGACATTTTCTATCCCATGTTATTTTTCTGTACTTCCAGAATAAATGTATGTATTTGCTTTAAGACAACCTACTTAAGACAAATGACAAAGAAAAGTAAGCTTATGTGCCGGTCATAAATTGTGTTTTTGAAATTGTTGCAGTACTTCACTCATGATGCCAAGTGAACCTCAGCTATTTATGTCAGTGCAAAGTGACCTTTATGATAGAATGTTTGACAGATTTGAATATAAAGAACAAGTGACCACCACGTGTGACCCATATGATTGCAAGATCCCGCTCTGCTTAACAGAGCGTAGCTCTGGCTGTGACACACAGTCCCCCAAACTCATTTGCTGTCCTGCTGCTGCATAGATCCACGAATGCCGCGGGCAGCTGGGCAGGACCAAGGGGGAAGGTCTCCTCTTGGATCTGAGATACCAAATCTGCTCCCTCTCGGGGCCAGGCTGGTGCTGCTGAACTTGGGCAGAGGATTCCCTTTGTCTGCAGCACAGGGACCCCGGAGCCCTTCCCTCCCTGCACCAGGAAACTCAGTCCCTGTGCGGAGATCCTTCCTCAGCCTGCATGGCCCTGGGAAAATGTACCACCTTTTATACACAAACAAGGACTGTGAGTTTTATTGATAAAGTGATAGCCTAACCTTCGATAATGTGCAGCAAAGGTGCTGCTTTGCTTTTGGTGGGGCAACTCCCTATGCAGTAAATTATGTTAGAAGGATCTATTTTATTATGTTAGAAGGATCTATTTTAGATACCCAGCGAAGGTTTATGTATGAAAGAGAGTGCATTAATTAACAATCATTAATATTCTTGATGATTTTTTAATTGGCCTGGTGGTGGGTGTGTATATGGATAAGAATGATGGGTGTTGGGTTCTTTTAATCATATAAGTACGTGGGATATTTTAAAGAAATAAAATGTGGTGAAAGTGTCAGGTAGCATTCCAGGAATGCAGGAGGAAATGTATGCAACCAGAAGTTAGAACTAACAGATTGATTTCCTGGTCACTGTGCATGAATTCTTTCTAGCCTTGTGTATATCCTGATAACCAGATGGCTTACAGTATAGATACAAAGTTTGTTTTGTTTTTATTTTGAAAGGCCTACGGTATGCAGCCTTTTTCCCAGACAGCAGCAAAAAACAAGGTGAACAATTTTTGCACTATGTGGTTTTGAATTCTGTCATATTTCCTATTACGTTTCTGTCTTCCATTAGGATAGCTTAGTTTACTCTCTTAGCCACCACCATCATCCATGTCACTCCCGGTCCCGAGCTGAGCGTGCGGCGGGCCCGGCGCTGGCGGCGGCCGCTCGGCCCCGCCGCTCTCACCGCGGCCGCCCTTGGGCCGCCGCTTTCGGGAGCGCCCGGCGACACCTGGCGGTGCGAGCGGGAACTGCAGCCCCGCCGCGCCCGCTGCCCGAGCGGCCTGGCCCGCCCGAGGCCGAGCTGGGCGCAGCGCGACCGAGCCCATTTCCTGCATGAAAATAAATAAGTAAATAAATAGATAAAGTGCCGGGAGCACATTCCCCTCCCATTGACACTTAGGTAAACCGAGAGGAGCAATAACCAACATTTCATTGCTGTTGGAGGAAAACTAATGCCTCTGACCTCGCTATTGAAGTCAATAGGGCAGTTGTCCACAAGGGTTATGCACTTTTTAAAATCTTTTTTTTAACTAGCTTTTCAAATATATTTGCGCAAATGAATGTTTTATGTATACTTATGCACTAAATATACTGCATTAAACTAAAACTTTTTTTCTGTGAAAATCCTTTTAGAAATAATGAGGTTTTCAAAACTTTGCAGTGTGAATGCTGAAGGAAGCCTCTTCTGCTCCTTTATTTAACGTCATGGTTTCTGGCTTGAGTGTGTGGTTTTTCTTGCCAGCAAATATATTTCCGTATGTTTATGAAATTCCACATCTCTTTGCCAGCATATTTCTTAACAATGGAATATCTGGGAGATACGAATACGTAACTAATACAAACAAAAATTAAGACTCCTGGAATCCTGATTCTGTGGTGAAATTGCAGGACCTCTTGGGGTCTTCTCAGTTTAATTTTTATCTAAATATACATTCAACCAAAACTGATTCTTTTTCTTGCTTAATTGGCCCTTGACTGCCACCTGATTTTTTTTCATTTTCTACATACAGTTAATATAAATGACATAAAAAACATTACTTTATCCTGATTTCTCTCAGTCTACAGGCAAATCAAGTGCACCAACAATGCAGTATCTTTAGTTGTTTACAAAATATCCCAAAGAAAGGGCTCCCAAAGTACACAGCCGCTGGACTTTGGAAGGGGAAAGATTTGGTGAAACAAGAATGTGTTCTTTTAGCCAAAATTGGTGGTGTTATGCCATTTTGAGATATACAGAATTTGCCAATAAAATGAACTGAGGAGAAATGACAAAAGGTCAAGTTACACTGTTAATCTGCACAACAAAGGAGGGCAAAGTTCTGGTTAAGATTTCATAGGGCGGTTTCCCCCCCTCTAAACTTGCAACCCCTGCAATCCAACATTCATGGTACATCAAGTGTAGTGCAGGCAGCGTGGGTTGGGGCTGTCCCAAAATCTCGTGTGTTCCTGGGGGCTCTGGTCAGATGAGTTCTGTGCTCAGCACGCCGTGCTTCAGCACGTGGCATTTCGTACGCTGCTCCGCTGGAGGAGACCTTTCACACCAGGACAGCACGTCCCAGGCACAGAATAGTGAAAATCAGACAAATGCCCGTTCTGGCAGTCGGTGGGAATTGCTAACTCCACCTTTACATAGCATGACATTAAAAATAGCTTGATCAGATTTTTATCAAGATAATTTACTGAAGAATAGGAGTAGTTTTTGCAGAGATCTGAACCCACTGAAAAGTGACATTTGCCATGAAAAGGCATTGGGAGTTTTATCTGAGATATGACAGCTATTTTGTCTTCTAAGTGTAGAGAAAACTGTGGCATTTCAGATTACAAACAAACATTTAGCAGTGGCCACTGGCAATTCTGCTTGGTTTTAGAACTATAGATTCCTAGAGCAAAATTCTGCCTCCAAATTGTATGCATGCTGCTCTCATTTATTTCAGCAAAGCTTGTGCACATGTTTCAAAGGTCAGAATTTGGCCGTTGGGGGTGAATTTTCAAGGAAGACTATATTAAAGACACCTGTGCATCAGCAGAACCATATCCTTTGTCTACTGCAGAACATTTCAGGAATGAGCCCGGTGCTATTGAGCACGGCAAGTGAAACATTTTATATGTTTTGAATTGCATTGGAATTGCTTAGCAGGAACATTTCTTGCAGTAATTGGTTCATGATTTCATTTATTTCTTGTAACTCAACACTTTGATGCTGAAAAGTTGTCAGTTTTAAGAGAGTAAAGCCTGGAAGGGACCACCCTTCAGAAAATTACAGCTGAAAATATACCATAACAATCAAACTAAGGGAAATAGTCCAAGAAAATAGGTATGGTCTGTTGAGGTGCACAAACTTTTGTTTGCAATCTAATACAGAGAGGTCAACAAATATTTTACACAAAGGTAGAAAACAAACCCACTTTTCATTGTGGACAGAGCTCATATTTGAAATTGTAACTAATCAGAAAATTGAAAAAAATTAAAACTTGGCATTCATATTCTATTGGAGTTAGTGTGTATTAAATTGATGAAGACCTTTAAGCACATAGGTTTTCCCCTGTTTTTTAAACATTTTACACCTCTTAAAAATGTTTATAATGTCTAATTGCTGCTGGATTTCAAGACATATCAATTTTGTTCTTAGTTCCTGCAGATTTTGACAGAATGTCATACCAAAATATTTTGTATTTTTTGTAGGACTGGGAAACAGAAAATCATGACTGGTATTGTTTTGAATGCCATTTGCCTGGAGAGGTGTTGATATGTGACCTGTGTTTTCGTGTGTATCATTCCAAGTGTTTGTCTGATGAGTTCAGGCTTAGAGACAGCAGTAGTCACTGGCAGTGCCCAGTTTGCAGGGTGAGTACCTATGAGATTTCATGTGCTGATTAGAGGATTGATATTCATTAATAGATTTATGAAGGTGTCCAGATGGTCTGGCCAGGTTATTGGGTAAAGAACTGGATATTGAAACGATGGTACATATCTAGAGCATCTGTACAGAGGTACCAAAATGTGGTACATGTAGCAGATGGCAATTTTTGAAGATTCCAGCAAGTGTTACTTGCACAGTACCCTGTGCCAGAGTGTGTGCACCTGAGTGCAGTAAAGTGTGGGAACCTTCAACAAGAGTAAACAAATTGCTGTATAAGATGCTACTGTTGTTACCTAATGTCATTTTAATGAATCATTTTTGTATTTTGATGACTTGCATTCTTAATATTTTATTGGAATGGTATTTTATGTTATAAAGCCACAGTCATGTAACTGATGAGTCTAGTATCAAAAACAAGGAGTTAAATCCTGCTTTTCATTTACTGATGTGGATTGTAATGGTGCAAAAAGAGCAATCTGGATTTTACTCATGGCATCCATATCTATGTTGCTTTTTCTTTTAAAATGCTATTCTTATGAGTATGGCAGTGAGGTAGCAAAAAGCATTTCTTATATACTTTCCAAGAATGGGCAGATATGTTGTCTACAAGTCATTAGAAGATTAAACATTCTGGTCAGGAATGGTGCTTACTGGTACCTAGCCTTGAATCAGCCAAATACCTGCTGCTGTTGTCATCTCTGTGTCACCTCCCCAAATGGAGCACTTCACTAGGCTTCCTACAGAGCTAGGCTCCCTTCCTGTGGAAGGAATAATGCATATGAATGTTTCAGATAAAATTGTTGCTACAAAAAGGCATAAAACTGCCACTTCCACTCTGGCTAGGATTGCTGGAGAGAGAGAGGCACTTCCTTTGCTAAAAGCTTGGATTAGCTGTAGAGCAGCAGACTGACCTTAGGATGATCTGTGCTGCAAGGAATGTAAGGTTTCAGGCACTTTGTGGGATGGGGAAGAAGTTGTTGAAAACATGTGGAGTGTTTTGTTTCAAAACAGCACTTTTTGACTGCTGTTACCTTAGAGTGAGTTCCACAAAACCTGTTGTTGTTGCTTCAGGTTGCTCTCAGGAGAGCAGATTGCTCTCAGGGAGCTCTCAGGGTTTAGGGAAATAGTAAAAAAATCAGGCCTGCCTCAAGGAAGCTGAAAGTAATGAAAAGGAAGTAGTGGCAGGGAAACAACTGTTAAGAATAAAGACATACTGTATCTTTCCATATTGAATTGCTAGCATTTAATTTAGCTACTCAATAGTCCCTCTGTTAAAAACAAAAACTATGACCATATATAGATGATTTACTTTCAGATTTTTAAATAAATCTCTTTAATAATTGTTGGGTCTTATTATAAGTATTGATTATTCCTATAAATAGTTAAAATTAGGTAAACTGCATCCAGTCTTCACTGTCGTTTGCCAGGAATTTTAAATGATGCCTGGTGAAGGTAGAGAATGTGGATGGTTTATGCCACCTTGTGTATGAAGTGGTTTCATAACATTTATCTTGTACCATGGATATCCTCAGAGTGGAAATGCTGAATCATTGCTGGAATATGCTCTGATACGTCAGCTTTGAGAACAGTTTGACTTTCATCATGAAGCCTTGAAGTCCTTTATGGCAGTGATATTAAATAAATGTTTACCTTAAAAAGAAAATCCTGTGAAACTTGAGCCATGTGCTCTCTGCCTATCTTTCTGCATATTGGTTCCTTTTTTGTTATACAAATATTAAGGAGAGGTTTTGGAGGCTCTTAAATACTTCCTGCCCCAGAGGCCTTTGGCTTGCTTAGTGCCTCAGGTGATGATCAGCCTATTTTTGTGGATATTGCCATTGTGAATGCCATGGCATCCTTTCTCCCCCTGTGCCAGCAGCTCCTATTTTTCTTGTTGTTAATTCAAATCACTTCAAGCCCTAATTCTGCAAACTTGGGCTAAGGAGGCTTGCACAGTCCCTGTAAGTCTGGGAGGCAGCATCCTTGTGTCAGTAGTCATCCTTCAGTATTCTGCTACTTTCTCCCCACCCTCCTAGGAAATGACTGCTCTAATTTCATTTTAAAAGCAAGAAAGTGGCCTATATTAAAAAAACTAATAATGTGGAGAGAGGCCTGGCTGGTGTCCAGAGGGCATAACAGAGCTTAACCATCTTGCATAAGGGCAGTGGGGGATTTACACTGTGTTATCAGCAGTAAATAAGTGTCTTCAAGAAAAGTGATAGCTGGGACAAAGAGATACATATATTTTCATATTTAATTCCATAACTGGACATGGCACTTTTCACTTGGAGATTTCAAAGCTCTTTACAAAGGTGAAGTAAAAGTATGTTTAAAACATAATCTATTGGGAGAAATAATCTAAGAACATTTCATTCTTATGTAAAGATTGCTTCTGTAATGCTGCCAAGGTCAGCAAGCCTTTGGATTTTTCATTTCACAATTGCTGGTTGTATTAGTTTGATCAACCAGTGCAGCTTTATCTTGCACACTTGGATACTTGGAAATGTTTTATAAAAGCCATTGCTAAAGATTTGTTCATAGTTTAAAAAAATATTTTCTTCCCATATCATTTATAACAATCCCTTTCAAACCTTGTTCTGAACTGTGTTTGCCTGCTCGTGGTTTTTCTCCATTCCATCCATGAACAACAATGTCCAGTTCCTCATTTATTTCTTTTTTCAAATTGATCATACCACTCTGAGTATTTTTGTACCCTATATAACTCTCAGCAGGAGTCAAAAGTCAAACAAAGTTCAATTCAAACCACATTGCACTGATTGAAATTTTTCCCTGACTGTTGACTAATCATTGTCTTAAGTGAAATAAATTGGCATTATCAGCAAAATTCCTGGTAGACAAGTCACAAGAGAAAAACTTAATATTGAATGAGCTTAGAGATTACATTTTTCACTTCTGGAATAGTCATTCCAGACAGGGTTAGTCACCTCTGTCTCTGAAAGATATAGGAAAGTTGTACATTTATTGCTTCTCTTCAGTTATATAAAACAAGGCAATTAATTTTCTTCAGCTGTTAATTTAGTACCTAAAGACTACAAAAAATACGGCCAAAATACTAATTTTTTGGAGGGGGAATAGATATGTACAAAATTATGAGTACGAGAATTTTGATCATGTTGGCGTAACTGACTATTATTATTTCTTGTCTAAAAATCCAAATTTTAAAAAAATTAGAAGAAGGCAAAATTAAGCATTTTGATATATCATCTGTCACAGAGATGTAGATTTTGATTCATGAAACAGAAGGAAAGAATTAGTCATGTGGTTTTGCTTGACTGCTAAATTTTTTTACAATCATCTCATGAGAGATTGTTCTTCCATGCATGTTCTTTGCAAGGACTTATAGCCAATTTACCTATTGTAGTGGGTACTCCAATATTCCTGGGGTTTATACATAGGAGACCAAAGTAATCTGCAGGGCTTAAGATGTTGAATACTGTGCTGGGAAGTATTCTGTAGATAGGCTTTTTCTGAGTTCTGGTATTGTACTGAGCATTTCCTAGAGTACATAAAAATAAACCATTATGGAGTTCACAATCAACTTCAGACAAAATATGACAACTGAGAATGATAAGCAGTGGAAAGTTAGAGGCACAGGAAGATGGAGGTTACTGAAGTGAAGTTACTCAAGTGCTTAGATCAGGGGGTAGGTACCAGCTGTCAGTCAAGGTGGTGAATATCAAATACAAGGAGGGAGGAAAGAATCTCGCTGTATTGGCTTATTTCATAGTGTTATGGTAGGAGTTTGAGACCTGGATGGGGAAACGTGTTGTTAAAACGGTATTTGGTGTGATCGCACAAATAATAGTCATGGTTTGGTGGGTAAAGGACAGTCCTAGGGTAGGAGCAGTTTTAGCAGCACAGAGCCCACACTTGTGAGGTGTTGGTGCTCACAGTCCCACCCATGCACCCTGGAGTAAATCAGGGAGCTGACAGAACTGGGCATTATATAAGAGATCCTGAATAGAGATTAAAGGAATTTGTCCAAGCAGTGAGAAAACTGGGTAACCTCCACTTAGAGCCTCCTGCCACCTTCTTTGTGCAGATAAAAGCATATTTAATTAACATGATGCTGCATATTCAGAAAATGCTTAATGCACCATACATGTAGAAATCAATTTGTGGATTCAGCTGTAACATTTCCAAAAGCACCTGATGCCTTAAAAAGTCTAATTTTACTGTAGCTGATCATGAAAGAGGCAAATCTCAGGGCGTATTTTGCTCCTGCAGAAGCTTTTCTGTGTGATGCTTAGGGCACACAGTACATTGGTTGCTCTGAGAGCCATTCCATGTGCCTGCATACCTTTCTTAATGGTACAGGAAACCTGAGGACCTGAGGGTTGAAAGTTTGAGAGGGCAGCAGAGCAGTAAAGCTTTCCATATGTAGCACCAAATTCCTCTGGCAATTTAAACCCTAAAAAAGTCCAAGGGCCAGGGTGTAAAGCAAGAAGCTTCTAAAGAGCAGTGGTGAGTGTATGTTAGACTCATGCTCATAGTTCCCCTCTGCAAACAGACCCCTTGAAACCTGAATTGCTTCTGAAAATGCAACTGATGCCTTAGAAACATGTATCTGTCATTGAGCAGCCTTTACATAATCCATCACTGAACTGAAATGCAGCTCTTTGGTGTGTGAATACACAGGACAGGTGAGAGAGGAAGGGAAAAATATTCATTAATGGGAGTTTACAGGGAAACAGAAATCTTTTTAAATGGTGCAAATATAATTTAAATGCCTATAGCTAGGCAGAATGCTGGCACTGACATCTTGCATTTCTTAGAGTTTTCCTATTTTTTTCTCTTCAAATGAAAGACTGCAGCAATTGTAGCACAACTGCCACCCTGGGAGTTGAGAGCTAACTCAGAGTGCAGAGGTTTGTCACTTCCATCATCCCGGGTGCTACTGCAGGATGGGGTTTTTCTGTGAAGTGCCCCTGACTTCTCTAGCCTCATGTGGTTTGTAAAGCCTTGCAGTGAAGTCCTGCACTATAAGCATGTCAGAATTGCTAAATAAGTCACACCTGCACAGTAGCAGTATATTGCTACCCACTTGAAGAGCTAGGCAGTATAATTAATCTGGAGCATTGAATATAAAGAGCAATGTAACCTTCAGGTTCCAGCTTCTAAGAAACAGATGTGCTGCAGAGAATAAGGCTCATGGAAGGTATTTCCTGCACCCACAAGAAAAGAGTTAGGCTGCAGGCTTGGCCTTTCACCTGCCAAATCTCATTAATCTTCTACATGAGGATTGCTGTTGGGAAGGTTATTACTCCACTCCGTCATCCCCTGTCTAAACACATTGGCCTGACCAAGTCTTTCAGTTTACCTTGATTCAAAGCAGGAGGTTTGCAGATTTCTCTGTAGCAGGGCTGTAACTTAGGATTTGTCCATGCTGCAGGTTAACCCCAGCAGGCAGCTAAGCACCACAGGGATGCACTTCCATGTCGCCTCAACTCCCAGCTGTAAAGAAAACAAAACAAAGGTGGTGCAAGAGCAGTCACTGCCCACCCTCATGGACAGATCAGTGCCCAGACAGTTCCTGAGTTGAAGCTGGCTAAATTCCCCCTAAGCCCCCTCCTCTTCCTTTCTCTTGCTGAGCATGAGGTTACATGGCATGGAATAGCTCTTTGGCTAGTTCAGGTCTTCTGCCTTGTGTCTTCTCCCAACCTCTTGGGTACTCCCCAGTCTGTTCACCGTGGGGCAGAGTGAGAAACTGCCTTTACCCTGTGCAAGCACTGCTCAGCAGGAGCTGGAACATCCATGTGTTACCAACACTCTTTTGGTCACAAATCTAAACCACAGCACCACACGAGCTGCTGTGACAACAATAATTTCATCCCAGCCAGACCTGGTGCAGTCCCATATTAAGATAATTTATCCACAAATAGGCTGTGCAAAAGTATAAGGATCCTGACGTTTTGGGGGCTGGATTGAATCTCAGCAGTCTCCTTGAAAAAAAGTTGAACTTGAACAAGTTTTCCAGTAGAGTATGACAGGGAGAAGAAAGTGGATCTTGCCACTATCATTGTTTTTGTTTCTTGAAAGTAGGAAATTAGAAGACCTAATTTTCATTTATATTTGCTTCTATATCACTCTGCCTATAAAGGGGACCTGAAAGTGGGTATATTATCTTGTGTCAGAGCAATATAAATAGATTTTATGCAAATCATAGTCCCCATCTAGTATTATCTATTTTCTTGCTTTAAGTGGCTCTGGGTTGATGACTCTGAGAACACTACAAGTCTTCAAAATACAAAGGAGGGGTTTTCTTATTAAAAACTAACACATTTTCCATCATAACTCCCAAAGAATTTGTGAATGCTACCTCCGAAATGGCTAATTGTTGAAAAGTGAATGAAGTGGTTGAAATGTAACTGGCTTTCTACAAAGGGTGAGCAACCTTGCCATAAAAAGACATTTTGCTGGCTCATAGGCTCCAATTCCCTAAATTTATTACCTTTCAAAATTTAGTAGAGGAACATGGAGATCATGTTTTTCTTAAAATAAATCAGTGTAGGGAATTGAAGGAAAAGTGGAAAAATTAAAGTTTGCCAGAATTGGCAAGTTAATTATACCATTTTCATTGGTGCTTAAGATGATATTAATTGCTGACATCAATAACTATACAAAGCCAGCTATCTATCTTTTCTTACGATCTCAAGGATAAGACTGTAAACCATCTATCTCAACAGTCTCTTTCAAACTCTCTTGCCCAGCAGGGCATGAAAAATGGTTCACATGAATTCTGAAATACTTTCAAAGGATGATAAATTCCAGAGCCATGTCAGAAAAAGAGGTGTAGGACTAGTCAGTGCATGTGAGTTTTATTGTGTCCTTATAAGTTTCAGTCTTTTAAAATGCTGTGTCATTAGCAAGCACACAGCACTCCAGTGCCTGGAATGACAAAATGACAGCAGTGTTTCATAATGCAGATAATTTAATGCACATTTGGGTTTTCATTTGCTGTGGCAATGTTGGTTTATGAGAAACTGAGTAGGTGATTTGAATTCCAGCAGAATGCACGTTTCTCCTGGTAGTCAAGAGTGAAACATGAACATACCGAATGTGATTCAATGTGTAGTGCAGGATAAATTCTCTGTCAGTCCAGAGTTTGGAAGGAAGGTCAGGCAACCATTAATATTATGAAAATAGTGCTTAAAGGAGCTGTAGGTTTAGAAATATCTGGAGCTGGCCCTTCCCACAAGAGAGTTTTTCCCAGTCAGGAGGAAGCTGTGGTGGTGTTATGCACCATGCAGTGCCTGAGTAGGTTTGTGACTGAGCTGGTATTTCAGCACAGTTTGTAGTGATTCTAATTGCTGTTAAGCAATCAAATGAACAGCTTTGCAGGTAGTGCTGTGTACAGTTCTGTTTCAAGAAAGGTAGTAAGTACAATCCTGAGATGTATAGGTTGCCTGCTTGCTGTAGCACAGGGGAACAGCCTGTGGTTTTCAGTGTCCTCAGTCTCTTGCAGGAGGAATATAAACACAGGGGAGACACAATCAAATCCTATCAGCTTTTTTGTGCTAATGTGTAATTTTATTCTTGCCAAGTAAATTTATAAAAGCAGGTGCTCTGTACTCAGTGTCTGTGAGCCCTATGTCCAGAAAGTAATTGAATGAAAAATAGCACACTTCTAGTGACTGATAATTTTTAAGCCTCTTTTATTTACATATTAGAACATGGATTCATTTTTTTCTGGTGTTTGCTAAGCAACCATCATCTTCACAATTATGTAGATCTTGCTAAAGACCATCAGATTTTGAGGATGCAGGTGTAACTGAGCCAGTTTGGTCCACACAGTTTGCACACAAGTGGTGAAATAAGGCATGAGAAGGGGAGAGCTCAGCCTGGCAGTCAGTGCACAAGGAGGTGTGAGGAGGAGTGAATGCCTTGCAGGAGACATGAGCAGTCAGAAACACTTCAGGGTAATAGACCTGGAACCCATGCTGTTGTTTCACTGTGCTTTTGTTTGGGAGAGCTGCTGTAGGTAAAAGCAGGGAGGAGGCAGCACTTTGCAGGCAGCTGTTGTAGCTCTGCAGAGCTGTGCACAGCTGCTGTGAGCTGGGATTGGAAAGGCTGCTTTGTAAGACACATCAGGCATTTGCAGAGACACCTTCTCTCTAGCAGCACATTTTCAGTATGCAGGGCTTCCCACTAGCCTGGTTATACTTTGAAGGGTGGGGTAAGTCTCTATGATTGTCTGAGATGAGAGGGAAAAACTCTGGATCCTGAAGTGCTAAAAAGTAGTGATCTGTGTTCCAGAATCTGGATTAAATTTTGTTAAGGAAGAACCACAAAGCTCCCAGACTGCTATGTTTCTTGAGCAGTAAAAAGTGCTCTGAGTTTCTACTGGCTAGAGCCAATTTGTCTTCCTCCCAGATGGTATCATTTTGCTTAGTAAGCACATAATTTGTAGATGGTACAGGATATTATTTTTTAAATTATTTCTTATTTTACTAAAATTATTAATGCCTTGCTAATAAAAAGACCATTAAATAAATTTTCAGCTGCTCCCTAAAATGACTTTCTTCGTTGCTTTATTCTAATTAGACACTTTTTTATGAGAGGTTTTGACAAACTATTATGGATACAAGTGGAAATAGAACTTGCAATTTTTCTGTAGCTGAAGTTCTCAGCCCAGACATAATTCAAAGTAACAGATATGGTGGTAGTGGTGTGTTAGTGTTACTAATTTCTTAGAAAATATTTTCCGTAAGAAATAGTGTTTTATGTGATTGAAAGTTACCTTCTCAAATCAAGTGTTAATGCAGAGGAAATGTTTATTGGCTGGATTTTGAAGTCAAGTTTAAAATCCTAATATGATGCTCTTTTTCTTTGGCAGAGTATCAAGAAGAAAAACACAAGTAAACAAGAGATGAGCACATACCTGCGCTTCATCGTGTCCCGGATGAAGGAGCGGGTGAGTGTGAGCAGGGAGCATTGCTCAGTCCCTGCTGCACTGCCCAGGATCATTGTGGTTGCCCTGTGGCTGTGCAGGAAGGAGGGCTACAGGAGGGTGCTTTTTATTTCTCCTGTCACAAGCACTATGTGTGTTTTCGTACACTGACCAGGCCCTGAGGTTCGGATCAGTGTCACCAGGCTGTGCCATGGGCCTGTGGCTCCTCTGACATGAACACTTTTCAGGTTTGGACACACCTAATCCCATGGGTTGTGGATCCCCAGTTTGCCCTTGTGTAGTCCCCAGCTGAAATATTCCAAACTATTGCATTTTCTAATCCTCTTTTATGTGTTTTAAGCAGATTCTAAATGCAGTAACAAACACTGTCTCATGGTCCTTTCAGGCTATAGATCTAAACAAGAAAGGGAAGGACAACAAACACCCAATGTATCGAAGGCTGGTGCACTCAGCTGTTGATGTTCCTACTATACAGGAGGTAGAGTGACTTGCTTTCTAACTTCCACACTGGTTTTGGTGTCTTTTAATAGTGAAAGTCTACAAAGTCCTAATCCTCTTTAATTCTCTTTATGATCAGTATTTCAGTATTGTATCCAGCATTAGATATGGAAGCTTAGCATGTCAAAATTTTCCTCATAAATAGGTAATTGAATAAAACCATTTTCAGTGGTGCCTAGTTTTCAGACACAGAGTGTCTTCAATTCCTTTTGTACTAAGGTTACACTAGTATCTACAGGTAGCTAAAATCTTCACAGAAATTACTGTTTAGCTGAATCAATGAATATAGACTCAAGTGCCTGTGTGTGCTTCTCTGGCCCAATGTTTTTGACCATATTCTGATTTCAGTCATTATGCCCTTGTGTGGGTGTCAGCTTTATAAACATCTGAATGATTCATAAAGAACCAATCACTTTGTTGATCATGAAAAACCAGACTCACCCAAAACATCTGTTTTGCATTAATTGTTCCAAATATAAAGTACTAATAAATATATTGTCCCTTTTTTCTGAGCCAATGGTCTGATCATGACTCATATAAATCAACTGCACATGAGCATAATAAACAGCGTATTCATCTTTACTCGGTCCTGCAACTGGATTGTAGGCAGTGCTGTGGTATATCTTGCCCTTTACAAGCACAGATGTGAAGAGCCTTTTTTTTTATTATTAAAATGCACAAATAAACAATAGCTTCACTGACAGTTTTGGAGACCAGCACTGCTGCCTGTCTGGAAGTGCTGGCAACACTGGTTGAGCCTGAAAATAGGTCAGGCCTTCCTTTTACTCTGTCAACTTCTTCTGCTTCCATAGAAGGTCATTTGGCTTTGGTAGCATTCTACAAGCTGATGTTGTTTTGTTTGATGATTGGAATTGTCACAGATGTTCTTGAGAGAGCCCATCTGAAAATGCTGCATTCCCCATTGGACAAAGCCATACTAAGAAAATGAATTGCATGGCTCCATGTAGGCATTTTTTATGAGTTTGGAAGACTGGGACAACCAGCTTTCATCAGATAACACAGACTGTCAAGTGAAGATCCTGGAAGCTCAGTCCTGAAAGGCAGTCAACATTGATTTGAAACTAGCTGATATTTTAAGGTACAAAATGTTCACCTCAGGGAACATAGTTTGAACAAATATTCTGGGTCACACCTTATGCTGCAGCTACTGTTCCAATCAGGAAAATCTTTTTTAAACTTGGTCAAGTATTAAAGGATCTATTTTACTTCTGGGCATTGCATAAAGGGCAGCCAGTGCTCAGGTACTAACAAACCATGCTAGAGAGTTGTAAGTAGTCTTTTTGTATGCAGGAAAAGCAATGTCTGATCTGCATAATGTAGACTTCTGTGAAAGCTTCTCTGCATAAAGCAGGTAGAGCACTTTGAAGAGTTTTCTCACAGCCTTGTGTTTTCTTTTGTGTAGAAAGTAAATGAAGGAAAGTACAGGAGTTATGAGGAGTTCAAAGCAGATGCTCAACTGCTTCTACACAACACAGTGATTTTCTATGGAGGTAAAATACTACATTTACTTCTTGCCTTGTTTGATTTGTCTTTATTTGTAGGAAACTCACAAGTCCAGGATGGATTTGGTATTAATTAGTCTTAAGTGTGAACGAAGTAATTTGCAAGCCCTTAAAAATCAAAGTGCATGAGGACTTTTTAGGGTCTTTTTTGACCCACCTGCTACAGAACTATTTTCATCCTCCCTGGCTAAGCCTCTTAGTGAGAATTACGCATTTTCCATCCTGCTTCTTCTTCAGCAAAGTCCTAGGTCAGTCTATACTGCAGATGTTTGCCAATATACAATATTTTCTTAGGGTAGGGTAGGGTTTGCTGTGCTGTGTCATTAGAAACTACAGACATATTTCTTTTACTTTTGGGCAATATCTGCCATATTGTGACAGCAAATGTAGCTACATCCACATCAGGAGTGTGCTGCTGGTGCAGTGTGGAGGTACAGCCATCAGAGAAGCTGCCAGGCACTGGGAAGGTAAAGAGTAAATGATTGGAAGTCAAAAAACACCACCACCATGTCCAAAAGCTGTAGCCAGGTCCTGTTTTCCAGAGCCACCATCTCAGGAAGGATGTGGTTCTCCCCTGCAGACATGGCCACTGTCAGTCTGAATGCAGGAGATCCACACTGTGGCTGGTGGGGAGAGATGTGAATATGCCAAGAGAGGAATACAGGGGTGTAAAGGGAGACTCAGTGATAAACAGTCTGTGAAGCATCACACAGAGCACAGAACAGAGAGATGTTTTAGGACAACTGCATTGTGCCATTAAGACACAAGCAGAGAAAGGAACTGAACCCATAATAAGAGCAACTGTGTCTCCCTGCTGCTGCTCCTCCTCAGATGTGTACTTGCATTGTTCAGTGTAAAAGCGGTATTGTGGAATATAAATATGACACAGAAAACGAATATTGAAATGATTGTTAGAAAATTTTAAATGGAAGGCCTGTCCAAGTGATTAAATTATGTTTTTTCTTCTTAAGCACGACAATTATAGCATGAATGTGGCAGCAATGACAGCTGCGAATCTTTGTGAGCACTGTGGTCATACTGTGATTGTTTACATAATCTATTTTTAATTTATAGCGGACAGTGAACAAGCTGATATAGCAAGGATGCTTTACAAAGACACCTGCCATGAAGTAAGTACCACCAAGCAACCAAGAGGTAACCACGATACTTCATTTTCATTTCAAAACCTAAGAAATTATTCTTCATATTACAAAATAAAAATTGTGTGAAACTGAATTATAAATTTCCTCCAGACAGTCCAGCAGCTGATTCAGAATTCCTTTTACTTTTTCTTTAGGTTTTTGTTGTTGGTTTGTTGGTTCTTTCGGGTTTTGTTATTGGGGTTTTTTGGGTTTTTTTTGCAACTAGATTATAATTTGAAAAATACTGATATTCAAATTTTAGTTTTGAAAATAAGCAATATAGATTTGGACTAGAAATAATTGTACTTACTAATATAAACTGAATCTGAGGTGAGATTCTTACTAAATTCTGTAATTGTCATTAAAGCATTTCTCCATATTCAGGGGAGACCAAAAAATACAACTGAGGAGCTGGTGGCACACTTTCTCCTTTTGTACAGTTGAATTACTTCTTTCACAATGTTCTTTAAATATTTGATGAATTTAAGAACTGTTCTTTGCATTTCATCTATAATAGATCATTAATATGTCAGTTAGTCTTCTCCCTCTGCCTGGGTTTTCTGAAACATGAATAATGTTTCTTCAGGTTGTCTTTCAGCCTCTCACAGCCCACCTCAGTTTCACACCTTTAGTTTGCATGGACAGACTCCACCAAATTAGCAAGCAGGGCTGAAAAATTTTACTACTTAAGGGAGAGGTATGATACTGAAATCACATAAATAGGATTTTTTTTTTGCTTATTTACCTTTTTTTTTTGTTTGTTTTTCAGCTGGATGAACTGCAGCTTTGCAAGAACTGTTTCTATTTGTCAAATGCACGACCTGACAATTGGTTCTGCTATCCTTGTGTATGTTGCTGACACAGATTTTTATTTGTTTGCTTTTCTGTATGAAAGCCTGCAGTTTTGGTGTCATTAATGCATTGAATATTCCATTTCACAGGGCTTGTTTCAAAAGCATGGCTAAGACTCTGTAAGCCTGGATATTTTACACAAGTGAAGTGTTGATTGGAGTTCAAAGCTGTAACAATATAGGTTATAAAACTTGGGTAACAGCCAGTTACAACAGTTTCACGAGAAAATAAGGAGCTTACAGAACTAAAACTTTGCTCCTGAATGAAGCTAGAAAGACAAGTTAATTTTTAGGCTGCTTAAGATCTCTCTTTTCAATAGACAATTATGCCCTTTTTAGACTTTGCAGTTTTGGGTTTTTTTTTAAGTTGATCCAAGCAATGTATCTCACAAGGAATTGTAAGAAGATAAAAATGAAAATAGCACTAGAAACAAACAGTAACTATACTCTTAAGGTACTAGCATAGTATTGCAGCAGAATATTTTTGGGAGATAGCAATATAAGATTTCATATCCACTAACAAATACAACTTCTTTTTCTAGATACCTAATCATGAGTTGGTTTGGGCCAAAATGAAAGGCTTTGGGTTTTGGCCAGCCAAAGTCATGCAGAAAGAGGACAATCAAGTTGATGTTCGCTTTTTTGGCCATCACCACCAAAGGTAATTTATTAATTCCATGTGCTGTTTTTTACAAACAATATTAAAAGAATTTATCTCATCTGTCATGTTGTAAATCCTGGCTCAGCTTGTTGCCAGCATTAGAAATACTGAATACTTTGCTATAATTGTTTCAGAAAACTTAAATTTCAGTCTAACACATCTGAAGTGTCCAAATTCAGTGGCTCAGAGGTTCTCTTTCCTCAGTTGCCAGAAGGATGTTCCTTAATGCCATTTTAATTAAAGACAGTCAGTGAACTTAAGCTGTTTCTTCAAATGTGTAGCAGTCTTCTAATCCAGGCCAAGGTGAAAATTGGACAGAAATGTACTCCTTCTATCAGCAGTATTGACTTCAGGCAACTTCTCATTTGAGCTGAGGCACTACAATTTTGTGGTTTAGTACCATGATATATATCACAAATGTTTGTGTCTCACTGCTAGAACATTGACAGGCCTCCTGCTGGGAGCCAGTTTGCAATTTCAGAGAATCCCTCTTTACACTGGAAAGTTGTCTCTTAGAGATCAGCTTTTGGTTCTCTCTCCAGCTGGTTGTTCAGCATTTGGGAGGTTTGTAGCAGTGTGACAGTGAATGTACTGGTTTGGATTATTTTACTGTTTTATTTATATGCCTATAATGTGAGGAGAAGAGACATCTCTAAATTAATTCATGGTTGTTGGGAGATGGTATATTTTGGTGCATCCCAAAAGGGCCTAGACAATTCAGTAACAGTGTATTAGTTAACTGTTTATATAAATTGCTTTCATGTAACTTGCACAGTATATGACATCTTTTCACTTTTTATATGAGCTACCAAGACTTTCTAATAGTTATAAAGCAAGTTCTTTACTGGTGCCTCTGTCACAGAATGCTTTTACCTTGAATCTGTTAATGAATACAGTTTATTTGTATTTATATTGTTTCTTTGTCTTTACTCATTAAATTTATATTGGAAGAATCAATAGTCTTTTCACAAACATGTCATTTGTTGAGTATTTAATCTGCTAGGCAGATGTGCATGGCAGTGACTCTATATCCACTGTCCAGTGTTGCCTGGTGCTTGGTATAACCTTTCAAAATTCAAGACCTGCCTATCTAACTCTCTGAGGATTCTCTGAGCACATTTAAGTGGACAAAGTAACTTTGGAACCATGTCACTGGCATAAATTCAGTCCAAACAAGCATGACAGTCTCCATGGAAGTTCAGTCCTCATAGACAGGGGCCCAGGACACAAAATGTCTCTATTCAAGGCGAGGAGTTGGTTCATTCCTTGACAGTTTTAGGGAAGAGGTCAGGAGCTAAATTGGATTAACATATGAACCTCCAGTAAAAAAATGTTTCTGTGTCTGAGTCAGGGCATTTAGCAAGAGACGGATAAGAGAAGGTGCTGGGGAATGTTTGTGGCTCACCAAAAATGAGAGAGACTTTAAGCCATAGCATCAACAGCTAACAAGTATTTATAATAACAAAAATGTCTAACAGCATGCAGTCCATTTTTTTTCAAATGTGTTGAGTTAAAAAAGAAAATCAAAAATGAATTGTCAGTGATCGGCCATTGTGAAAAACTGCTTTTGAAGTCAGTTTCTCAGGTTGAGATCCTTCATCTGTGTTTAATGTTTCTGAACTGTCTGTTCTGTGTATTCACAAGGGCCTGGATCCCCTCTGAAAACATTCAAGACATCACAGTTAACATCCACCGGCTGCACGTGAAGCGCAGCATGGGCTGGAAGAAGGCCTGTGATGAACTGGAGCTGCACCAGCGTTTTCTTCGTGAGGGGAGATTCTGGAAATCAAAGAATGAGGACAAAGGGGAAGAGGAGGCAGAGTCGAGCATCTCTTCCACTAGCAATGAGCAAGTGAGTGCTGCTACAATATTAGCAATTGGGGCAATTCATTAAGGAGTACAAAGTCATTGTGGTTTTGATTAATGTGCTGTTAATTAGCCTTGTGCTCTGTCTGCAGGTTGTGAGGACAAGAGGGTTCAAAGACTTATTCTCCCTATCACTTGTCCTCCCTATCTCACTTATATCCCTATCTTGCTATCAGTAATAGCAAGAATTTGGATTTTCCTCTTTCCTCAGTTTCTTGGATGACCTTTGTGAAGTTTCAAAGTGTTTGTCACGTACAGCACCTTGATGAGACAGATCAAGATTTCTAAAGTTAAATAGGAATGTTTGAGTCAAATGTCACAGATATCAGATGGACTGCAACACTGCCTTCTTGGAGCCCTGTCAAGGACAGCCCTGTAGCTGCTCAGCCTTTTCACAGTTGGAGTATGTTCACTTGGAGCTCTATTCTGCCTTCAGATCCACAAGGAACACCAGCCATGACATTTTCAGCAGGTCCAACTGAAGTTAGGTGCAAACACTGCACTTGAGGACCGTGTGACCAGCAACTGATTAAAGGCATTAAAAATAATTCTGCATAACAAGAAAAATCACATTGTTTTAATAAAGAGCACAAATGGCCAAGATCCAAAACTTTGCATTTCCACATGGAAATTCCCTTATCAGAGCTGATCTTAACTAATCATTCATTGTCCAAAAGGGTGTTATATATCCACTACTTTTCATAGTTTACAGGATGCTTCTCCCTATTTTTGGCAGCCCTTTCCCTGGCAACATCTTTCCTCATTTAAAACCCCTATCCTTTCTCCAAGTCTGTATTCAAAAAAAATCAGTATATTTTCACCGTCTTCCTTTGTCCTTTTGTCAAACAGGTCTATCACTCAATCTGGAATGAAAAAGTTTATAAAACTCTATGTTGTGGTGGAAGGTTGTTCCTTATCAAAGTGGTTTTAGGGCTTTTTACCCTGGTTTGTTTAGCTAACCCTTTGTAGCCCCTTTGTTTCAAGTCTTGTGTGCAGTCATACAACAGCCTGTGGTAAAACAGGAAAATGGTCACAAATAAAAGATAACTGGTATTTTCCCATTTTTTTCATAAGTGTCAGTCACAGAGTCTGAAGTGTCCATTTACATATTTTCTCTTCAATTCCAACTATTCATCTTTGACTTGGCTAATGCTTATACCTGTTTTACTGGTTTCTCAGATACAGGAACACAGGAGTAGCCATCAAACTCACTGTTCTGCTGTAGTCTGCAATATCCTCTTACTAAGACTAGCTAGTACTGCATGCTTCAAAAGCAGGCGAAAGAACTTCTCTACAAACACTGCAAAATAATTACCATCCACTTAGATCTCATTCTTGTTTCTACTGTGAGACTGACTTTTATTCTAAAGCATAAAGTTCCATATCCCTCCAGTAATAATCCAGTCTGGATGATCTTACCATATTTACATACTTATATTCTCTTTGTAATCACTGCTGCTTTCTGGCATCCAGCAAGATCTAAGTATGGGTCACTGATATCGGAATATCTGAGAAAACAAATGTTTGAACTTGTGTGTGCAATGAAGAAAGGAATGGTTAAGAGTATTTTAGCAAGTGCATGTTGAATGCTAGAACTTGTTCTTTAATTTTGTTCCTTCATGCAGTCATAGTCATCAGTGATAATGTAAACATTTTATTGTGTGCACTTCTCATTTAAGAACATTTAATTAATGTTTCTATTTGATACCCTAAATAATTGCAAATAATCACAAATAAAAGGCACATTGGTCATGTTACAATGAAAATCACTTACTTTAACTGTTTTTTTGGGTTGATTCAATATGCTTTTCTTAATGTTCACAGCTGAAGGTTACTCAGGAACCAAGAGCAAAGAAAGGACGACGTAACCAGAGTATGGAACTCAAGAAAGAAGTGAGTAACCTCAATTACTGTGTTTATAGAGATAGCAAAGTACAAAAAGTCTGAAATTTTAATAGACACTCCTTCAATTTCAGTCACCTTTTAGTGATGTTACAGTATTAGCCTTGGAAGTTCCAGCCCCACAGCGTGGTACTCCTTGCTAACAAGTGTAATTGTGCCTCCCACGTGCAAGTAATGCGTGTCATCGTGGGAATATCCTGTATCATGAATAAAGCAAGCCGGCTTACAATATTTCTTAAAAATAACAAATACTTATACAAAATACAAATACTTACACAAATAACAAATTCAGGATATCAGTAAGCCCATAAACAGCAGAAATTAGGAAGTGCAGTCGTGCCTATGAAGTTTATGAACTACCTCACCCACTTTGCCTGCGGGTTTCCCTGTGTATCCCGCTTTCAGGATCAGGGAACCGAGGGCTGCGTTATTGAGCGTGTACACAAGGGGGCACTTACAGAGAGAGCCATAAATCTCTTTCCGAGCCGCAAGGACTTTTCCTGGCCTCGTTCCAGCTGCCGAGGAACGCTGAGAAACATTTGCACATATGTGTGTGTGTTCCTGCCAGAGGACTCGGGATGCCAGCGCAGAGGAGGCTGCGGGTGCTGTAGCAGCAGAGCTCTCTGTGGTGGCTGGAACAGGGACACGGCCCCCCCTCATTCCCGGGCAGCGCCTCCCCTTGTACCTGATCCTGCGGGAGGCAGCGTCGTGGATGGAGGCAGTGACACAGTCTCTGCTCCCTGGGGCACAAACTTGGTTTGAGTGCGAGATAGGGAAATTACAGGAGGATGTCTCGCCATTCTTACTGTGTTTTCTGTCAAGCAAATGCTGTCATTTGCTTCATATATTTATGTCTTAGCATCTGCCTTCTTAGCTCTGATCAGTGATCCAGAAGTCAATCACAGTGACCTCTCAGAGAGTAATTGATGGCAAAAGGGAATGCACAGCCTTTTGAATGGTGTGAGCAATGCCTCATCACAGACAGGCACAAAGTCCAGTCCTGAGCAAGGCTTTGTCTCTACACTGCTAAATGAGCATTAAAACATGTAACTTTAATAAAAAAAAATTGTTTATGTCTTCAGACACTTCAAATAGCAATAAACATTTCCAGGAATATAACTTCAATCTGTTTTAAAGAGCAGGAGCAATTGGTGTTACATTGTAATAACACAGGCAGCTAAATTCAGTACAGTACACTACAGTAACAGGGACTTCTTTCTTGATAATTGTGTAATTATACAGAGCTTCTGTGGTCATCAAGTCTAGTTCCATATTATTGGAAGCAAGACGTAGACTCTCATTAGCCTTTCATCTTCAAAGGACCTTTGAAGTACTGATCAATCTTTGCAGCACTTCTATGGAGTCAGTGGAATATCACAGACTCCGGGGCAGCCTGTTGGGTCAGAGTAAGCCCAGAGTTTGCCAAAACAATTCAGGAGCTTTGGCCATGCAACTACATACAGCTTAGGCAGAATATTGTGGGGGAGAAATATCTCAAGCAAACCTCTAGTAATCCCAAGGAGTCAGCCCAGCCTCTGTGGTTTTCATACTTTTGGGGAATTGAGGCTGGCTGAAGTCAGAAAAGCCTGACCCAAGAGCCTGCCCACTCTCAAGGTGGTTTTCCACAGGGACCCCACATCCCATTAGCACTACAGGTCTTCATCAGACACCTTTCACATTAATTACACTGATATTACTCAAGTAATATTTTTTCTTCAGGGGGAACTGAAAAGTGAACAGGTTGACTTGTTCTATTTTGCTATGTGATTTACAAGTTTGTTCTTTCTCTGCAGGAGCCAGAACCTGAAACTGAAGCAGTAAGTTCAAGCCAGGAAATTCCCACAATGCCTCAGCCCATTGAAAAAGTTTCAGTCTCAACTCAGACCAAGAAGTTAAGTGCCTCTTCTCCAAAAATGCTGCATCGGAGCACCCAGACCAGTAATGATGGAGTGTGTCAGAACATGTGCCATGACAAATACACCAAAATCTTTAATGATTTCAAGGACAGGATGAAAGCTGATCACAAAAGAGAAACTGAGAGAGTCGTGCGAGAGGCAGTGGAAAAGGTAACACTTGTTGAACACCACCTACCCTGGGTTGTGGAGAGGAGATTTTGGGGATTTTTTCACATTCTTTTCTATTTTTGTAATAACCCCTCTTACCAAAATGAATAAAAAACCTTTTCCAAAGAGACCACACAAGAATAGTCTCCATTATTGCTTTTTTAGACCATTTCTATACCAACAAACCTACTTTAAACAGAAAACTCATGGCTTTTTTTGATTCTTGTCCAGTGATATCAGTTTGTGATCCAAAACTGAAACTAACTGTTCATTTATGAGTATCTGGTTCCAAAGCCTTTCTCTCCATTGTTAAGTGTGATTCTAAACAATGTCATTGTTTAACTGCTAATCATAAATAATTCTTCTTTTGTCCATCTTCTGACCTAAAGTTCAAATAGGGTCACTGAAATTTGTTTTAATTTTCTTATCTAATAATAACCTGTTTAAAATTCAATGCCTAAGCTTGACCTGGTCACCTTTGGCTAGAGAGAGCAGGGCAGTTTGGAGGATGATTTGTCTGACCTCTCTTAAGTACCTGTCTTAAGATAAGATGAATTTCCTTCTGGATGAAGGACTGTGAAATGAACTTGGGGAGTTCAAGTGTTAATCCTGTAGGATTAAGACACCAAATGTTTAGGTACCAGAGCAAGGGCAAAAGAACCTCACTGACAATGAATACTAAAATAAATAAATACCTCTTAATGAACTCAGGGATGTTCTATTTTGTATTTTCTATTGTGCACTTGCTGTATATTTATATGCAGTTGTAGATTTGGAAAAAACAAAATCTTTTTTAAAGAGAAATTAATAAATTTATAAACTGATCATTGAGCAAATATACATAGAACTTATTTAGCTGTTATTGTAGATACCTAGCAGAGTAGAAATACAGTGATATTTTTATTTTGATTAAATCTGATTTTGCTATATCTCTAATTGAGCAATTTTTTATTTCCTAAATAGAAGAAATCTCTAATTGGGTGACCTCCACCCTCATCATTAATAGAGGTTTAAAGAGTAGAGATGTAAATAACACTAATTCCAATAGCTGTCCCTTGACTTGTTTTGCTGACTGTCTTTGGCAGCTGCGCACGGAGATGGAAGAAGAGAAAAGGCAGGCTGTAAACAAAGCTGTGGCCAACGCACAAGGAGAGATGGACAGAAAGTGCAAGCAGGTGAAGGAGAAGTGCAAAGAAGAGTTTTTAGAAGAAATTAAGAAACTAGCAGGTCAGCACAAGCAACTGATTTCCCAGACCAAGAAGAAGCAGTGGGTAAGTGTCAAAAATTTATCACAAGAGAGTAAGTGGAAATGTATAATGCATCCTGCAGGCAGTTGATGGGGATTTCTTCCTTGCTTTTAACTGCACTGCTCTTTCACTAGTCTTTCAGCATGAAGGCTTTCTCCTTCATATTACTGTTTCAAATCTTTTCCAAATTTCAACTTGGTGTTTTGATTACTTCCCATCTTAATTTGTTAGTACTAACAGCAACATCTTCTCAAGTCCAATCAGATGTTAGTATCAAAAATATTTTTTTCTAAATGCAGTTTTACGCTGTATAAGACATGTTTTGCATTATGTTCACACTCCTTTGATCTTGAGACCTCAGAGGGTACAATATCTGGCTGCATCAATTTGGATTCCCCTGCTAATAAGGCTATTAGTGATATCCTTTTGGCCTTTTCCTCTCTTGCTTTTTCTACACCTGTTTTATATTCCTTTATATTTAGGACATGACATTCTGAAATGTATTCCTCTCTTGTTTGGTCCTTAAGTGCAACTGCAGCATCAGCTACAAAAACCATGTTGGTGTGCCCTCTAGAAAAGTGAAAATAGACATCTAACTTCTTGTTCTGTTGCATGCTACAAACTTTTCCCTGGTTTTATTTGGACTGTGGCTGGTGTTTTCTCAGGCTGGAGTGTGTCCTCCCACATGGCTGTACAGCACCTAGCCAAACACTGCAAGGACCATAAACTGTGCTGCTTGCCAGGAGCAGAGTGCAGGTGGAAACCCCTCTGCTCAGGAGCTGGGACCTGGCACACAAACTCTGCTATTTCTGTGCTAATTGTCACAGAACAGGGGAGCAAAAGCCATCACTGAGGAAGTCCCACAGCACTGTGACAGTCGCCTGTAACACACAGGAGGGTGGGCACAAGATTGTAGCACTTGTGGGGCTGTTAAGGAACAGGAGCCTCCAGGAGATGGCACAAGCTAAGGGATCTGTCACCTGCCACCCCCTGCAGCCCCATTTCCTTCTCCTGTAAAAGGCTGTTTTGCTGCTGCTCAGCCTCATTAGTCCCTGTGCTTACATGAAACAATGGTCCCTGCAGGGAAAACTCTGCTCTGGAGAAGAGTGGAAAAAATACTCAGGCGAGGCAGTCAGTGACTGACTATCACAGTTTTGAGTTTGGAAAGACAAGAATTGCTTCAACTGCTCCTGTAGAGTCTTCATTTCTGTTCCTCACAGAGGTTTTACTGTGGGTGTTATGATGGTGCAGTGCTTGGGTCTCTGTCAATACCTGTTTCTGCAGACCAGAGAAGTTATTTCTGACTGAAGTGATTGAGTTACTGTGTTCAGTGTGTCACCAGCTGCTGGTGCCTGTGTGCATGTGCTCATCTGTGGCACTGGGAGGGAAATGGAATTGCCTTTGCCCCCTACAGAATATGTCAAATCACCTCTGTTGTGTCAGAAGTGAAGAGCACACATGTGAACCATTGTCACCATTCAGCTGACATACAGTAACTCGGGCACAATAACATCATTGTGAGGCTGGACTCTTAGCTCTAGCTGCTTTTTGATAGTTTGGAAAGTAAAATTTCCAAGAGACTGACTGGAGTTATCTGTTCCAATGTGCCTTTACTATATCCTTCAGACTAATCAAAAAATGCCCTGGTACCACGTCACTGAATTTATTAATGAGAGCATAAAGCTTCTCTACTGAGCAAAACAATCAGAAGATAGAAAGAGTATGTGACAATCTTGCCTGCTTCTGTGGCCTCAAACTATCTGTCAATCACCACCCTAAATGAAGGCATCATGCAGGCAGCTGGTTTGCATGTGGCAGGAGAAGGAGGGTCAGGATAAACCTCTGCATTCAAGCTGATGGATCTGCCTGCCAACACACAGCCCCAGGCAGCTGGACTTGGTCCAATTACACAACTCCCCAGTGATTCTTCCTTCAGTGGTACTAATGACAGTCCCTGGTGTGTAGTACTGCACTTGTATGCTGCTATTATAATGATACCTCCTCACCAAAAAATCTCATGTAATTAACACACATACTAAATGAGTTTTGGTGGCTTTGCTTTTTAATTAGGAGCAGAGACCTCTGGTTTTGTGTAATGCTGATGGCTGTGCTTGGGAATATAGCTGCTATTATTCATACTGTATTTGTCTTTTTCTCATACCTTCAAAACAAGTCCAGTTGGGATAAAGGGATCATTTTGTTGGTGGTATACAGGGACACGAGATGTACTTCCAGCCATTAGAAGACTAATGCATAGTTAAAGAATAACAGTTCCTCTTTCTCTAGCTGTTCACAATTGGCTTAGTCCAATTTCTTTTTTATACCTTCAGAAAATTTGGGTTTAATATAGATACCTCAAGTAAATAGCAAACAAAAGGAAGAAGTGTAAAGGCAGCAGTAACAATAATGAGATTATGCAGCTCCGTGGCTCCAGGGTTCAGGCTGGAGTGCTGGTCGTGACAATGTTTCTGGTTTAGTTTCTCCAAGTTCTTTTATTTGTGTATAAGACTAATTTAAATTGGTGCATAGGTCGTTTCCATAGACAGCTTTTAACTTTTTTCTCTTTCAAATTTATTTACACATATATTTATTTTAACTTCCAACAGGTGGTCTTTAAGTGAATGAGCATTGTCTGTGATGTGTACTGCCTGAAACAAAACCCCAAGTGATTGATAACATTTAGAAAGAGGAAAATACAAAGAAAAGGGGAGGCCTGAGGCCAGCTGGCATTTTGCCTCCAGTGCCACATGTGCTGGTACCAGCACAGATGACACTGTAAGTGGAGATTTACATCCCACACTTATGGCCAGCATATGTAAAGGGAAGTGCAGGACCCACTGATCAGTTGTCCTCTCCTGTCGTAGCATTTTTTGATCTCTCCAAACCAGCAGATGTGAATTTGGACTCTGGGCTGAGGCCCATGCTGTACATAATGGAGAGCCACAGCTGTTCCCTGCACCTTTCCAGCAGATGATCCTAATAGTTCCCACAGGCTTGTGGGCAGCCAGCAACATGAAAAACCAGGAAAACAGCTCTCGAGAGGACACTTGTTTGCAGACATTTTTACAAATAAACTTCCCAGGAGCTAAATTATGCAAGGAAAACGGAGAGGTTCCCTTCTCACACAGCTAGGGCAGTCCCTTTATTGCTGATGTAAATAAATGGTTATCAGTTTAGCCAATGTAAATGTTGGCTTTCTTGGATCTGTCTTTCAGTAGTGTGGGTTGTTGTGGTTTTTCTTTTGAAGCAGTTTGGTTTGTTTCCTTTGTAATTCTCTGTTTTATTACCAAAGCTGTAGCTAGACAGGACATAAAAAGTAAATTGTGTGTTATTTTGTGGTTTGATAGCAGCCTGCACAGACTGTGTGATATCCCTCCCCCTGTTCCACATCATGCAATCAACATTTCAGACTGGATTCCTAAAGATGCTTCCTGATTTTGAGCAGACCAAATTCAGAAAGACAAATTTGCGGTCATTAGAAGCTGACTCTCCAGGATGTAGAATATAAATGGTACCTTAAACAGCAATGCCACCTTACTTTATGGAGTTTTGTCAAAATGAGAGTTAATGCTTCTGCAGCACTGCCTAAAGGGCATAAACTTTCCTGCAGACAGGGCACTGTGTGGGTGCTGTACCTCCTTGATGGCCACCTGTGGTGCTGACCAGCATGTTGTCTTCCCTTTTTTAGCTCCCCAGAGGCCACAGGGTTATTTTCCAAGTAGCTCTTCCAGCTATCAGAAAGCTGGGGGTGTTCTCTGTGTTCCAAGGTACAAATCATCTTTGCTGCAACTTTCTCCAGAACTAAATAATTCCGCATAAATCATGGGCTGTGCAGCATCTTTCTTTCAGGAGTTTTGTGCAGCGCTGGCAGGCACGACAAAGGGCAAGAGCCCAGGTAGCCAACCTGTGTATGACAGGCCTTCGTCGGTTTGTCTAAGACTTGGAGGAAAAAACACTTTTTTGATCTGCTCAGTAGCACTGATGGAGCACAAGGTTTTCCCTTCAGGAGGTGGCAGTGCTGACTGCCAGTCAGCAAACCCCAGTGACAGCAGTGTCCTTACAGGCTGACCCCAGATGGGCTACAACAAACCAATAATTCTTGTCTCCTGGGATGTTAGTGTTGTGACTTTTGACATTTGCTAGACCCAAAGGATCTTCCCCAACAATCTCTGGACAGGTCAGGCTTATAAAGAAACCTCAAACACTGTTTTTCAAGCCTGAGCAGAGCCTGCTCGTGCCAGCAGCACCTGTTGATTTATTGTAGCTTTTAAGACATAGATCAGGGTGCTATTACACAAATGTAGGGTAAAAGATGCTTCCTGCGCTGCGTGCCTGAAAAATGTCAGTCCCCATTCCGAGAGATGAGTTTTCCTAAGTGGGAGATGGTTTTTGGAAAAGCAATAATCCAGACTCTGGAAAATACGAAAGCATTTTGTGGATTTGCTGAAGATTGCTGCTTCACTCAGCACGTGTGAAAAACGCTTGGATGCCCCCAGGCATAAATAAAGGGAGCATTGCTCTGCCGGTGCTGGTGTGGCAGGGGTGGGGGAATGCTGGTGAGGAGGGATCCTGCCAGGGGGATAATCCCATCTCACTTGTTCTCCCCAGTGCTACAACTGTGAAGAGGAGGCCATGTACCACTGCTGCTGGAACACTTCCTACTGCTCCATCAAGTGTCAGCAGGAGCACTGGCATGCCGAACACAAACGCACCTGCCGCAGGAAAAGATGAAAGAGTTCCTCCTCCCCTAGAGCACCACCCCAATGATTGCTATTCTCAGACAGAGCGGTTTTTGTTTCCAAAAAGAAAAAAAAAAAAAAAGCCAAAATTGTTTAGAATTTGCTTCCCATTTTGCACCAGCCTTTAAACACTTTTCTTGGAAGAAATTTTGCACAGTTATTTCAGTCTTCTGTTAAAAATGCTCCTCCAAATTTTGTCGGCTAAATGAATCGAACATCTGTTGGAGCAGGTTACTTCAAATAATTTTAAACTAGAGGATTTGTTGCATTTTCAGCAAATTTTAAGACATTTTTAGGTTTTACAGAGATTTTAATCTTTAAAAACAGCAGATCGAAAAACAAAAAAAGATGCAAGTTTAACAAAAGCTAAAAGTTTAACATGTTTAAAAAACATTTAAAAACTAGTTCTGAATGTAAGAAATACAGAACTGTTTCAGAAAAACGAAGCATACTACCTTGATGTAACATTTATTTCTTAACCTTGTTGAGCTGGTTTTGTTCAGCTTAATTTTACTGTTTAAAGGCATTATCTATTGGTTATACCAGTGGGTACATGATTGAATTTAGGGAACAGGGTTGACACAGCAGGTGCTAGTCCTGCATATTTTTTCTTAAATATTTCCCAACTGTGTTTTATTTTCATTATTTCTTTTCAATATATAACTTTTATAACAAAATATTAGCTTTGATCTTGTAGTTTAAAATCACAGGGAACTGGGGTAATCTTTTACTGAGCTGGATCTTAGAGAAAAATGAATATTTAAATTTTAAAGTTTGCACATTTCGTCTTTGTTCTAACATGAGTGCTTATAACAAGAATAAGAAAAGCCAAAAAAAAAACCCACAAAAAAAACAACAGACAAACAAAAAACCCAACTACCTTTATTCATACTTGGAATTTTGAGGCATACAAATTGCTTTATTGCGCCCCCCTTCAGCCTCCCCAATTCAATGTCATTTGACCACCTCTGATCTGGTGTCACCTGGTCCATTGTAACTGATAATAAAAGGAGAAAAAGCACTTAAGTTTCACAGAAGCCGTTATGTTTGTAGTAATGGGTCATTGCCTAATAATGAGCTCCATCACTGTACTCAGAATGAAGAATAATGCATGTTAATTTTCTTGTATTAAAGATGCCGTGATTTGTAAAAAGTCTGTATTTTGCGGAATGTCTGGATTAAGAAGCATTACCAATAGGAATGGATCGATAGTTGAAAAATTATTTTCTTTTTGTTTGTTTTATATATAGATATATTAATTGCTTCCATGTTCAGAGACAATTTTTTAAATAGATGTAAAGCTTACTTAAATAGCTTTTCTTTTAAAGTGTCTCCACATTTTAGTTTCTTTCAAAGATTGGTCTTAGACTGAGTCATATGCCCATTAATCATCCAGCTATTTTTTGAGAAGTTAGAGGAATAATTTGTAAATATTTATTTAGATCTTTGATATTTATTGAAAGCAATTACATGATGGAACGATGGAAGCTGAAGAATGAGGAGGAAAGCCTTTTAAAAAGTTTTCTCTAGGATTTGTCAGGGTCATTGTAAAGACAAAAATATAACTAAGACTTCTGTGAACTACCACTGAAATTCTGACCTTTTTTACTTACAGTGGTGATATAAGTTAATTGACTAGATACCGCCAAATATGCCCAATATGTTGCAGAAATTAAGTGGTAAGTTGATTGGAAAAAATAGTAAGTAGATGGTAACTTGTATTACCACAGCTGCATTATTGCCTGATAAATGTGTAATTAACTTTTGTCGCCTCTGTGTTGTGACTGTAAAACACTTCACAACTAAAAATCAACCTTGTTCGATTACTTTACAAGTTCCAAAACTTCGATCCACCCCTATGAAAGCAAGTATTGTGGAAATATTTTTGGTGTAAAATCATTCCAGAATATGTAATATTTAACTGATAGCTGCATGAAAGTAAGATTCGTGTTACTTTGGCTTTTTTGTCTCTGTTGACACGGTTGCACATTTCCAAGTTACTACAGCGTGAAAACTGTGTGTTTTAAAGAAAAAAAAAAAAAAGAAAAAAAAAAAAAAAAGGTTGTGGCCTGGTTTTGTATAAGTTTTAGGTAAAATTACAATTGATTGTTTTAGGAACCATGATTTAAAATTAATTTTTTCTGCAAATCATAAAGCTATATTAAAGTGTTGAGCTTAGCCACTATGCACATTGTAATTATTCATTGTGGCTGTCCAGTTTATGATGCATTCTGGCATTTTGTAAGCTGCTCTGACTAGCAATATATAGAGTCATTTAATGTGTTAACATTGGTTAATAAATGTATTTAAAAAAAACCCCTCACTGAATGTGTCTGTGTTGATTTTGGCCAGTTGTCCTCACACCCCAGGGTGGGCAGGCATGAGGCTGCTGTTAGTGTTGTCCTCACCAAGGCGGGCTGGGGCTGTGCCTGAGCTCCCAGGAGCCTTGGTCCTGACTCGAGGGGAGCCAGCAGGGCCAGAGAAGTGTTCCAGCATTTAACATGGCTCTCAGCTCCGACAGTGAACCCTTCCAGCCCGTGCAGGGCCAGCAGCCCCCAGGGGCTGCACCCCAAGTCCTGGTTTTAGAGCAGATCCTGCACTGGCAGCAGCCAGGCTGGGGCTCAGCCCCGCTTTGCCCTGGGCTTCCCGTCACCAGCGGCCCCACTCTGTCTCCTCCCTCACCCTTCCCCAGCCCTGAGCCTGTGCCCGAGCTGGGGTTTATCAGTGAATTCCCTCTGGAGGGACGGCATGAGCCCAGCTTCACCCGAGTGCAGCGGGGTCTCTCCTGCCCAGCCCTGAGCAGCCAGTCCCAGTCGCTTGTGAAGCCACCACTTGGTGCCACTGAGGTGTCCCAGGGAGACGAGGGCCCATGGAGAACATCCTGCAGCCACCCAAGAGAAATGGCCATGGGGACAAGCCAAAGGCAGAGTGGGTCATCCTGGCGTCCAAAGGGGTCATCCTGGAGCTCCACCAGGAATTCAGGGCTGCAGCAGGGACGCTCATTAATTGCTTTCAGTGTGGCAATTCAGAATTTCCTTGTGGAAATTAAGACCTGGCAAGACCTGCAAGTCCCAAGGGATCCCTCAAAGTCTCTTTTATTGTTTCACTATCCAAACAGTTCTGTTCTTACATGAGCCGTATTTTATTCCTTCATCTTGATGAAACTCAAATGTCAACAGTGAATAGAGAATATGCTGGCAGAGCAGGATCAGGGATAAGCAGCGTGTCCCTTCAGCTCCCATCCCAGGGCATTTTCCCTTTTTGATGACTGCAGTCACTTTTCAAGCTCAGCACTGCTCACCAGCACTCCAATGGCAGAAATCCCCAGTGAAAATGCTCCCCTCCCCTCCCCATGTGCATTTGCCAGTTCAGGTGACACCAGTGGGGCCAGGATAAGGATCAAACAGATCCCTGGCCACGCCAAGGCAGCTTCCCAGCTGCATTGTGTAACACAGATCATCTGTGACCTGCCCTACTCCATCCCTGTCCCACACTGGGCCCTGGCACTGCCACCTGGCAGAGCAGAGGAGCAGAGTTCTCCCTGCACTGCCCCAGCTCTGCGAGTTTCCCTCCATCAGGAATCTCAGGATGAGTGGGGGCTTCTCTGAGTTCCTGCAGCACCACCACTGCAGGCAGTGGTCCTAGAGCATCAGCCTTAAAGGCTTCAACATTTTATTGTTGGCTTTTCCTATTATTATAATTATTGTTGTTGTCATTAATTATTTTTTATTAATTTTTTAACTCTGGCTATTCCTTTATTTTCGTAAGGAGGAGCTGTGGTTTCTGCCTCCTGCTTCCTTTAGGTGGAGTGAGCTGCCCAGCTCATGGCTTGTTTGCCTTTCACAATCTTAAATGACCAAATATGTGAAATATGTTTGGGATTTGTTACTGGTAGTTAGGGGACACCCTGTCAATTTTAGCCTCCCTGAGTGAGAGTACAGATGTGCATATGCCTCTCAAATGCTTTCATAAATGAAATTGAGGGGGGGTATCTAAACCAGAGAGGCCCTTCTTGTGTTGATTCATGTCAAGGAAATGCAATTGCAAGTAGAAAGGTCCATCCATTAGAATATTGTTGGGTTTAACTGGGAGATGATTATAGGTAATGTAAAAGGAATAAAACCAACTATCTTGGACATTCCATGCCCCATATTTTACCCTAATAAAACCTATTTCCAGATGTCAAAATCCTCAAAAGTATGATAGACTGAGTAATGCTCTTTGAAAAAGAAATGCTGGTTACTGGAAGTTCAAAATTGTAAAATCAGAAAGATAATCAAGAAAAAATTAACTCTGAATTGTCCCTCCTGCTCCCCATGGCAATGCTTGCCCCAGGACCTCTCCAGCCCCATGTCCCTGGAGCCACTAATGAGGCATAGAAGGGATGTTTTATCCCATCAGGGATGGCAAACAGCAATGAAGAAGCTGAAATTAAGCGCAGCATCTACTTTGTAGATAATTTGTACGTGGAAGGGGACTGATAATTGAAGATTATTCAGAAGAAATGCAAAGAGAGCCAGAACACTCCATGCTAAAAGGCAGAGTGATGTGTTTGTTTACAAAGCCATCGGCCAGTTCCTGCAAACTCCCTGAGTGAAAACTAAGCTGGCGTGAAGCTTCAATGATAATAGGATTTACCCTAGAGAGGGATCTAAAAATAAACTCAGTTCTGCATCAGAAGACGCTGTGAATCTGGTTACACAAAATGCTTTACTAGTGTTTGGAAAAGGACTTCTGCAGGAGAAAACAATGTTTATTAATAAAGCCAGAGCACTTTCATTTGTAACTATTTCATTGACAGGAAAGGTAGCTTTTTCAAACAGCCACTTAGGTGGCTTTGGGGCCCCACTTGCTGCCACATTCCAGCTCTGCCTCTCTCCTGCTCTCACTCCTGTGGCAGCTGTGGGAGCCAGCTCTGCACTGGGCCAGTTTTGAGCCACGATCCCACCACAGCAATGTGCTTTTGTCCCTTGTAACAGAGCCTTCAAGGTGAAAAATGGCTTCATTAAAAAAGGAGCTCAGTGCCTTGCACACAGCAGCTCTTGAAGTCCCTGTCACCAGGAAAG